TACTACTTCATTAATAGTGTGCTCTCATAAAATCATCATTACTTAAAACTTAGTGCTCTCTGACTCTAATTCTATTATTCTGTGTGATTAAATGAAATAGTGCTTATAACATAATTTCCAGCATCTTGTGTGATTACTTGATTTCCAGCATTTAATGTTCATTGGCTTTCATTTAAATTGTATACTACAATTTCTTAAACTAATAACTTTATTAAAGTTAGATATTTTTTAACACATGAAATAATTTGATTGTCAACAAATTCTAATTTACATTTCTGAGAGCTGCTGCTTCTCTCTTTCTCTGTGCTGCTTGCCACAGTATTGTAAATTGCAGCACACAACTTTATTTTAGGTGAATTGAACAGACAGGTCACCAGGGGCAATACAACACAAATGCTCAAATGTTTTTGGTGCTGCAGTTAGCTTTGTATTAAGGGTTACTGGCCAATAGTCCCATAGTCGCAGGAAGAAAAAGAGCCATACAAAGACAACAACAACAAGGCATCTGTTGTGTTGAGGTAAATTTAATTTGCCTCAATCTAATTTTTTGTTACCTACAAGTTAGGCTTCACAGCGTAATTTGTTTTGATATCTCAAAGAACTCTCCTGACTCCAGGCACCTTGTTTTTAAACTTAGTCTGTTTACTTGATGGTTGTACTACATCATCTACTGTGAACAAAACACTTCATCTGCCGATCTGATTTTATGGTATAACAGGATAGTATACTATAATACTGTAAAATCGGGTTGTTACATTTAGAGGTTTGATATAGCTTAGTTTAAAGGTCAGTTTATTAAAAAGCAAATGCAAAGGTGCACAGGAGGGTTGTGTGCTTTGCTCAGCCCTTTTTACTCTCTTCACCAATGCACCATCATCCTCTCCTCTAACATTATTGTGAAGTTTGCTGATGACACCACTATAGTGAGACTGGTATGTGATAATGAGGAGACGGGACTACAGGGAGGAGGTCCCACACCACCAGGAAGGCCGCACATAGCGAGGAGGTGGAAAACAGATCTCTCATGGTCTTTTAACACCTCCCACAGAAGAAAGCTCAACCTTCTTTCTCAGCAACCCATCCAGGTCACACTCTGTTTGAAGAGATACAGAGCCATTAATGTCAATGCCATTGGAATTTCCCCATTGTGGGACTATTAAGATAAGATAAGATAAGATATTCCTTTATCTTATGTCCGAACAAACAGACTGAGGAACAGCTACTGAGAGTTCCCAAACAATTGAATGGCACATGGACTTGACTGAGAGTTTTGAGGCTTCTCTTTCACGATACCGTGAAAGAGAAGGATGTGAGGTCCTGCTCTTCCTCTAATTAAATAGTCTCTTTCAAACAGCATAGGCTGTGCAGTGTCAGTGAACTGAATAATCAGATGAAATAGAGAAATAATCATTTCTAACCCCAGTTCATCCACCAACAAGTGGCTCTTTACACATCCAGGTCCCACAGTAATTTCTGTCCAAAAAATGTACAAAAAACAAAACAAGTTCAAGCAATCTTATTTCAGCCAAAAAGGAGGCAATTTATGAAAAAATATACAAATATATTCCACACAAACAGATCTGAATTTTACAGGAATCGGATTAAAATTTACAAAATATGAATATAACATTTTAAAAAATCACAGTAGGCTGCTGAAACTGTTACATTAGGTATGCAATATGCTGTTTTTCAAAAGTTTTACAAACCAAAAATTTAAGCAAGCAAAAGTAAATAGACAGTATCCTGAACTTGTTGCTACTTCACAAGACAAAACCAGTTAACCTAATTAAAAATACACTATTATATAAACCTTTTCTATTAAAAGATCTGTTGTTTGGGCGTTTCAGAAGTTCAAACTGATTTAATACATCTTCCCAACTCTTTGTGGCCAAAAAAAGGAGCTTGCAGGAGCGATCATGTGATTTGACTTTTGCCTTTAGGAGGATTGTCAATGACCGGATGTTCAAGGTAAACTTGGGGACTGGTGTTTGTTCTTATGTTAGTGCTGTTCTGTTTTAGAGCGATTCTGTAGTTGTTCGGGTCACTTGACCTAATTAAACTGCTGACAGGAGCAGTGAATGGAAGCTAAGGCAGCTGCTAAGTAAGCAGCCTCAGTCAATTTTTCACCTCCAGCAGCCAGGGCAGTGCTTCTCCATGCGGAGTACTGCTGCTGCATTAGTTGCTGCTGCATTAGCTGCTGCTGCATTAGCTGACGCTGCATTAGCTGCTGCTGCTGCGATTCCAGCAATCCTGGTGCCATTGGAGTTGCTAAGTGTCCAAAGCAGTTTACTTGCTCTGGGTAAATCTGGCTGGTGTAGAAAACCCTTCTTGAGTACCTTTCAGAGAGGTTGTCTGGAGTTGTGTATCCTGCAACAGCCTCAGAAGAAAGATAACCT